AAGTTTTTACCCATCTGCTCTGTCTTATTTTAACAACAAAAATGGAAATTTATAATTTATGTATAATTTGTAACCTGAATAGCAGTCCAATTTCCGTTTTATATGAATTTTTATATTTATATATTAATGGCTGAATAAACTCTTATCTTATTTAGGCATTTCATTACGAATGCATATTAATGCATCACTGATGTAAAGGACATTGTATTACCATGTGTTTCTTGTTTTCCAGCCCCTTGCTCTCTGCACATATTGAGCCTGTCATGCCATGTACTCAGTTTGCCAAGAAGCAAAAGACTCCAGCCGCACAGGAGCAGAACAGAAAATATGTTATGATGCACAGGCAGCAAGAGAAGGTATGTGTAAGACATAGAGGTGTACAGATTCAAACATCGTACCAGCTGGATTGACTCTGGGATTCTTGCTAAAATGCATTCATTGTATTCAGATTAATTGTCGGGCACATGCCTCCTTGAGTAGCTAGTTAATTAGTTAATTACCCCCAGAGTGTATACACATGATACAAGTGGTAAGTTTTGTCCTTGTTTACAATCAGAGTCTGAATTATTTGCCATTTCTTCAGCAAATGCATAAATAACTAATAATTAAAATAGTTGCAGTTAATATGGCTTTGAATGCTATATATTGATAACAGATTATATTTTTGAAATTTTGTCATTTATCTTTAAGGTAAAAGCCAGCAACTTGACAGCAGAATCTGTGATAGGTGTCCAACCATTATTTGTAAAAGATAGTAACCACAATGAAGATCATCTTAGCAAGTCCAAAAGTAGCCAAGCACAAGTCAGGCGTGAAGAGAGAGAAAACACTAGTGGAAAAAGGAAAAGGAAAAGAGGTATTGAGATTATATTAACTATTTTGACACTAAAACAATTATTTCTTGTTCAATTGTTCAGACTTCACTTTTTTTGTAGTTTTGATGATGAAAGGAAAAAAGTAAAAAAATTGGAATTCAAGAATAATTTGACAATTTTTTTTGTTTCACAGAGAAATCCAGCAGCAGTAAAAGTAGCAGTGCCTCTCGTGCCAGGCAGTCTTCCATCAGTATTACATACAGCAGTGATGGGGAGGGAAAGTTTCCGTGGTATTACCAAGTACAAGTACAGACGTCTGATGAAAACAAGAGTGAAGTGCTCAGCATTCAGGTGATAATTGACTCTCTTTTCCCTTTTTTTTTTCAGCCGNGGAAAGGTGTTGGATTCTGAAGGATCCAATGACACCATTGTTTTAGAGGACGATGAACCCACAGGCACTGTTATGACCGCACAACAACAGTCTGAAAGCAGTGGTTATGGTAGCATAGGGCCATGGAATGATCCAATAAAATCGGAATTAGCAGTGGACAGCGCCGATTTTGTTGGAAGTTCTAAACACAGCTCTTTGAGCCAAAAAATTTACCCAGCGTATAATGATGTAATTGATCTTACTCAAGGCCCCCATGAGTACACTTCATTCAAGCCTGAGATAAGTTGTGGCACTGATGCTATTGATGGGCCTACTAGTATTGACGATTTCAAGTGTGTACTGAATGACCATAGTGGTTCTGTTTGTTCTGGAATTCAAGTCGGGTCAAAACCCATGCTGCCGGGGTTAAATGTTCGTAGGGACAGTGTAACCGTTGTAACTGAACAAAGAAATGGTGTGGACGTTGATGTAATTGATCAACCAGTCAGCCATGATGTTATAAAATCTACTTCAAATAGTGTTTTTAATGTTACTGATAGACTTAACGTGAATGAAGATAAAGATAACAAGTCGCATGACAATTATATAGGCGCCTTTCAGCAATCCGCAAGGTCGCATTTACAAGGCGAAGATACAAAGAAAATAGGCTTAGCTTCTCTGAGTGCTAGGCCATGCAATTCTGGTGCAGCTTCAGATAGTTTCAACTCACCTGATGACGTTACCCAGAAGCCAGAATATGAACCACCAGGAACGACCACTGCCAACTGTTCTTCAAAAACAACACTCCCCTTGCTCCACACCACATCTTCCAAACACGAAACTGCATGGAAAGAATGTCCTAAGTCTGATAAAACTTCTTCTGCGGCCAACAGGTCAGATAACTCCCACGCCTGTGGTCAGTCTACCGCTACTGGCGGTTCCAGTGGGGCGTCTATAGGTACGTCGTCTCTATCTGGCGGTGTGATAGGCGCAGGGCCCTCTGGGGCCGGGCAGCCAGGACCGTCAAGGGTACAGCCGTCCCTTGGAAATGAGTACAATGATCTGTGTGTGATATGCATGTCAAAGCCCAAAGAGGCGAGCATCATTCACGGGAAGACGGGGCACCAGGTGACTTGCTATTCTTGCGCCAAGAGGTTGAAGTGGAGCGGCAGACCGTGCCCGATTTGCCGCAGACCTATCCAGAAAGTCATCAAAAATTTTCTGATGTAAATGAATTGATATCAGGATCCAGTTTCGTCAGCATTGGATAGCTCTATACTATGGATAACATTTAAAGTATAGCAGTCATAGTAACCACTAGATAGCAAAACTGGAGACCAAAAGTATCCAGCATTTGTGAAACATCAGTTAATTCACAGGGTAACTGTCCAGAAGATAATTTTATTCAGTGGATTGTGTTATCAATAGGACCCAGATGCTGTTCTCAGAGTGTTAAGTGCATTTGATGAAGTCCATCACTATATGCTGTGCCGATTTACTTAGGGAAGTAACGATGTAATTTATGTGTATATACCATTTATATTAAATAAGTGATTTTGTATTATTTTTTTTATTAATTGTATGATAAATCATACTTAATTTATTCATGGGAATTTTAGTATTTAATCGCACATATATTTTTGCTTTTGCTCAGTTGTTTTTGTATTTTAACGATTGCATTGTGATTTCTTTATAAGAATTCACAATTGAAGGGTTGATTTATTGTGTGTTATTATTATAGTGAAATGAGGTTGTAGACTGCACGCTGGGGGAAATGTTCAATTTGATTCTTTGAAGTAATTGATAAGATTTCTGCAGTGCATAGGGTGTTGACGGTTGTTACAATTCATAAGGTGTTCAGTTGATAGTTGTTGCACTTAAACTTGAATCGGAATCTTACTAAAAATATGAGATTGATGTAAACACCATTATTATTCACTAAAATTGGGTTCGTCATTTCTTTATTTATTTTATTTGTAACCTAAATATTATTTCCGACGTGGTGGTTTAGGAGTCTTGTAAATGATACTAGAAGTGTTTGTTAAAAATCACGATATTGTTCACCGTTTCTGTTTACCACATGTAATTTGGGCTTCCAGCTCATTTAGCGTTCTTATCTTGTAAGATATTGAAAACGAGTTCTCTTGAAGTACGGGATTGTCTTTCGTAATATCGAGTGGTTAGAAGTGCACCAAAAGATCATGGAGCCTTGTTAATGAAAAAGGAATAAAGTGCAACAAACTTGGATGTTCTTAGGTGTGAACTGATAACCCATACTAGCTGCACTCAATGATATCTCAACACGGGCCGTTTTCAGTCCATTGATAATTATTAGTTGTGCTAACAGCTTGTCCTGGAATAAGATATTCATCTAGAAGTTTTACAAAATCCTTTCCATTTTCAAACTTATTCTGTGACGAGATGTAAGGACTTTACAATCGCGCATGGTGTTTGCATGATGGGATTCAAGCAGCCGTAAATAAAAAAAATGATATCGATATGTTAGTGTTCAGAATTATGTTGCAGTCCAATATCCGTTACTCTGCTTTTACTTGATAATGAAAGCACGTGTTGTCACAAAAGCCAGCGTCTTCCCGCCAAGAAGACGAGTGTATGTACCCCACCCTTATCACTGGAGCGTGTATTGTGTCTAAATTTTAAGCCTACTAACATCGTGTTGAAAAGTCACTTTGCTGTTAAGGTGAGTTCAGCTCATAGCCCAAGATCTTCTCAAGCTACGAGCGAGGGCGAGGCTATAGCTGCTAACAGAAACGTAAAAGGATGTCGCTATATACCAATACTCGTACAGCCATTATATCCGTCTTTGGAAATAGGGAAGTATTGTCGGCTACAAAGACGGTCATGATGTATAAACATTGATAGATAACAGCAGATAGAATCTTTTCAAGGATTCGGGAAATGGCAGTTTGACTTTTGCCCAACCATGGCGTAAACATTTCAACAAGTGATCAATGACGACCTTAATTACAACAGGCACAGTGTTGGCTTGTCACCGATTTTTGCTCTCCGATTTTATGACCACAAAGTGCTATTAGGCAGGGACAAGCTTAGACATGGATCAAGAAGATTAAAAGAAGGTAAGCCATTTTATATTCTAACCTGCCACCAGCCTCCATTAAGCACCAAATGATAAACCCAGATACATGTACATGTAGTTTCAGGGGCGTAGGTAGCAAAGTATAAGGGGGGGGGGGGGGGAGGGAGGTCAGCCTAGGGTTAATAATCATTCAGTAAAAAATAAGTGTCAGGACGGAGGGATTCTTCTCTGCTTACTGCTCTCATGACTGGCACGGTTGAAAAAAGTGGGTTTAAACCCCCCTCATCTCCTACGACAAACGTCTTCAACAANCGGGAGGTCAGCCTAGGGTTTATAATCATTCAGTAAAAAATAAGTGTCAGGACGGAGGGATTCTTCTCTGCTTACTGCTCTCATGACTGGCACGGTTGAAAAAAAGTGGGTTTAAACCCCCCTCATCTCCTACGACAAACGTCTTCAACGATTATATAGCTTGGGACTAAATCGAATTTTTTCAGTCCCCTCATTGTAGGTATAGACAGACAGGTACAGACAGGTATAACCATATTTTTTCAACTTATACAGTTTGAATATTCTTTTAACCTATCTTGAAATTTAAATGATCTAAGATAGGACAGTTTAATGTTAGAATGTTCTGAAAGTATCCCGAAAGAAATTATCGAACATCAAAAGCTTTTTAAAAGAAAATTTTGTCCTCACCGGCGACGTTTTTCAATGATCAAAAGCATTTACGTTGTACACAAACACATCACCAATATGAAGGCCCTAATATTCTTTATTAAAATGGGCACTATGCATTACAAAAATACGTATTAAAGAGTATTTACAGGAGTTCTCACCTGAAAACGACTTAACTGGAAAAACACTCAGTTTCCACTCTTTTCTTGTGACCGGATAACGGTGTAGACTTTTCTCGATTGCATAGTCTAAGCAGCACTTAGCTGCTCAAAAGTTTGTCTTACAATATTTATGTACAATATGTTCAAGTACAAACGTGTATCTACATATATGGGAACTCGCCGCCTTTCGGTAGTCGTTATTTATCTCTATAAAATGCTATTTTGCAAAGTAAAATGTAAATGTGAAAGTATAGAAAACGTGAATGGTTATAAAATGTTATTTCACTTCTTAATAAAATCAAAATGCTTCCCGGAGTATTTGAGACCCTTGGGATTAACGCGCCTTGTAATATTAGACCATAACATACTGTACGTGACACTGTATGTAAAAGTATACTAAGCGCAAATATACCTTTGATGCAGTTGTGTAATTAAAATAATCTGCCAACAAGAGGCGTTTTTGTAAGTAACAATAATTTTTCTGTTGAGACACGAAATAAAAAAATGCATTAGACCAACCTATTCTACCAAACATCTCATCTATAAATTCATTGCAGAAGGAATGTACATGTGTGTAACAAACGATTATGTAGGCACGTAACGGGAAGTTAGTTACCCTAGAACATACCGTTCTAAGCAGATAGACCAATGCAGATATGAAAGCCTGTGATATGTGACTTTAGTTTCGGACCATTTGATACCCCCTTTGTAATTATGGTATTTCAGTGATTACTTCCACATTATAGAATACTCATAAAACGAATACCTTAACTCTATCTCGCCTTAATGACAAGTTTGCAAGGGCAAGTTTGCTAAATCCATCATTAAGTTTACAAAATATTTACATTAAAGAGACTGTTCGCAGGATTTCTTTGTTGGCTAAAATATATTTTTTCAAATAACTTGTAATTGCCCACATTAAGTGATGTAAATGCTATCGTTCGCTACAAACGAGCATTTTGGGTATGCAATTGTCGATTACGGAAGTGCATTATATCAAGTACGATCGGCTCTTCTAAAAACAGGTATACTTGATACCATGTCTAAAACTCCAGTCCAACGTCTGAGGGTTTAATTTCACTGGTCTCATAGACAGGATTGGACATGGTCTCCACTCTTTCCCTCTCTGTCATTCCATCAGCTGGCCACGACTTCATGTCCTCTTTATTGAAAGTGCTGTCAGAAGCGGCGGAGGAGACACGAAGGTCTTCGATAGAAGAATGCCAAGCGCCGGTGAACTGCTTCATGCTGTGTCTGCGACGGATGCGCTTCCTACCACACCAGCCGAGTAGGAAGCAGAGGATGGCGAAGCATACGAAGGCACAGGCGGCAGCGATAAGGGCAATCTCCCAGTTTTCTAGAGCTGTGGAAATATCAGTTTTGTTTTTAAGAAATTGACACAATAAATGGCCATTCAGTTTACCACGTTTAAGTGAGAAAATAAAATACACCATACTTTTTTAATCTATGGTTTTTCATTTGACAAAATGGACACGGGCCTTGAACTGCAGCATTAAGCTATGCATATTTATATATTTACCTTACAATAAAAGAAAAATGCTTTATTCCTAACAAGGAAAAGAGTAAGTTTTGGCTACAGATCAAATATCATTTATTTTGAATGGGAAAATGCGTCAGTTATCTAAAGAGAATCAAATGCTGTACTCACTGTTTCTACAGCCTTTGCCATCTAGTGTTGATCGGTAGCCAGCAACGCAGACACACTCATTGTTATAGCAGGTACTATGAGGGATGACTTGAGAACAGTCGGCAGGTTTATCGCAGTTTTTGTCTCCCACTTGTCTTTGAGCACAGGCCAACAGCTTGTAGTCGCTAGGATAATATCCGTCCTTGCACTTGCACATATTTTTGGTGCCTTGCGCTTTGCATTCGGCTTCTCCGCTCACCGCGCTACAGTCGGCATTTACGGTGCAGTTGTCGTCGATGTGAATAATCCTACATTTGGATTTGCTTTCTTGTACATAGCCGCTAATGCAGGCGCATTTTCCGTTAGAACACGTTGAGGAGGCCACAGACGCTGAGCAATCCTCAGGAATGCTGCAAGCATCGTCCATTTGACCTGCAAGGATTGGAACGGCGACGAATAAGAAAAAGACCACGTCAAATTATCTTGGACATTTCTCTGATTTAACTACAGGTGTTTGAAAGGAAACACTTACCTGCTTATGAAACATATCGCTTTGCTTTCCCACTAAGATTGTTAGTATCACTCAGTTACCACAACAAAGACACAACTGCATTGCGTTTATCACTCAACATGAAATCTAAATTAACGCTAAAGACAAAAATCACCAGCACAAAACTACAGTGAGAAAGAATCTATCTTTGGTTTCTATCTCTCAACAATCTGAAAGGATAAGAAATGTTTCACAATATATTACAAAATACACATGTTAAAGAGCATTTTTTCTTGCAACAACAATGCGTATAATATGCCTACGTTTTCTGCATGCACTCTCTGTAGAGATATATTTGTATCCTTGCTTGCAGCTGCATGTTCCGTCACTGCACAAACTGTCCACCACGGCTGCTTGACAGTCATTATTGGTTGAACACGGTGAGCCGACGGCACGCTTAGTACAGCTCGCTCGGTCTGCGGATGCCATATAACCTGCCTTGCACACACATCTGGAATCCGAACATTCACTGAAAGGAATGGGGTCGGTACACATCGTCGTACTTCGTGGCGTTTCGCAGGTGTCGTTGATTTGTGCACGCCTGCACTGTGTAGAGTTGAACTCCCTGTGACTATCGCTACATAAGCATCGCTTATTCCCGCCATTGTCCCTGCACTCAGAGCTATTTGCTGGCAAAATTGCTGAACACTCTCCTGTACTTTGACATGGGTCATTCAGTGGGCCTAAAATAGTGTCCGAGCATGACAAGAGTACTTCAGGCATTCCATTAGATTTCATTACTGATTATATGAAGGTTTAAGCAGCTGAAGCAACGATAGAAACACACACCGGGGAAATAAATGAAAGAAAAGCATAAGCATAAGCAAAATAAGGTTTTGCGCTTTAGACATGCTTGACATGCTTGTATACATGCTGTTGGTTTCAGATGCCGAAGCTACTGTTTTTAGATAAGTGACTTTCAGCCACCTTACCATGTGGACTTTAAAGCCAACCCTATTACATCCCAGCAGGCACATGCATACATATTGTGAAAAAGTGCAACCACCCCTGAGTACTGAAAAGGTAAACGCAAATAATATTGTTGGTAGCGACAAAACGGTTTACATGCATTAAAAATTCGACAAAACGGACCAAACATGCTGATCCTACAGGACAAGTCAATTAACACTTAAACTGTGATACTACAGTTGCAGAAAAAAAAGAAGAGTAAGGCATGCCTCTTCCCAGCCATCATGCAAAAAAAAGCCCTTTATCACCAAAGTAGCATTCTTCACTGGGAATTAATATGAATTTTTTATTCATTTACAAACTTGTCTAATAGCCTGCTCAGATTTTTTAAAAAAAAGTTCAAAGAATTTTCATTAAAATATTTTCAGTATGCTAATTTCGTTATTTGGACCATTTGATGATTAAAATGAAGAAGAGTAAGGCATGCCTCTTCCCAGCCATCATGCAAAAAAAAGCCCTTTATCACCAAAGTAGCATTCTTCACTGGGAATTAATATGAATTTTTTATTCATTTACAAACTTGTCTAATAGCCTGCTCAGATTTTTTAAAAAAAAGTTCAAAGAATTTTCATTAAAATATTTTCAGTATGCTAATTTCGTTATTTGGACCATTTGATGATTAAAATGTGGAAGGAAAAACATGGCCTACGTGACTGGCAAAATTCCTCTCCGCTTGGAAGCGCCATGCGCTTATATCCGTCAGTACATATACACCTTCCATTGAAACAAAAACTGTTAAGCAGAACGGCGTTGCAATCCGTGTTTGTTAAGCATGGCCCATCTTTTATACATGCCCTGCCATCAACGCTCTTTGAGTACCCGGGCTCACAAACACAGACGAGATTCTCGCAGATACTGTGCGAGACCGATATGTTGCATTGGGCAGTGGTGGACTGCGCGAGTTCACAAGGATCGCCCAGTACCCGAGTTCTGCAATTGCTTCGGTCCTCGTTTGGCAAGTACTGGGGATTACAAGCACATTTTCCCTCCACGCACTCACTGTGCTCCATGTAAGACGTACAGTCCGCAACACTCGTACAATTATCCCCTATCATGCCTGCAATGGTGTAAAACTTACTGAACTCATTTGAACGGGTCTTTCTTTCTTTTAAATGGATTTAATTAAAGACAGGTTGTTTAAATCTAAATTGTAATGTATCTGACCTACATGTACCAAGTGAAAAATGATGAAGTAAACAAAGTCGTTAAACGAACGCAAAAAATTAGTGAGGGCCTACGTTTTCTACATGTAGTCATGTCCGCAGAAGCCTTGTATCCCGACATACATGCACAAATCCCTTCTTTGCACATGCTTCCCTCCACTGCCTCACTACAGTCAACTGATCTGTTGCAAGTGGCGTCACCTATTTTTCGTTTTACGCAGCGGTTTAATGTCTCAGCATGGTAGCCTAGAGGACACGCGCAAACGCTCAGGTGAATATGACATTCACCATTGAGAATAGACGTTTCACAGTGCTGCTGGTTTGTGCACGGATCACCTATCTGCAGTTGTCTGCAGGCAGTTCTGTTTTCAGTTGCTGTGAAGCCTAAATTACATTGGCAGTTGTTTGAAGTGCCACAAACACTTTCACGTATAAGAGCACAGTCTAAAGCATTTTGACACTGATCCCCAATTTTGCCTGAAATTAATAGATGGGATGAGCAAAAATGTTTTCGACAATTTTACTTTTCGCAGATGTCGTTGAGGTATTAGGGACAAAACATAATAGGAACAAGTTCCAGTAAAATATCCAAATGCACAGGCGGATACAATGGGGTCCTGGGTGTTTCACCCTTTTCCAAGCCCAAAGGGCAGTTTTATCTCCCCACCCATATTAAAGGGAAGAAAATTCTCGCTTGATTAACCAGATTATTCAGCGGGACAAAAAATTGGGACCCACGCCCTTCTTAAAATCTTGGATCCACCAGTGCAATATAATATAGGTCCCAGTGCAATAATTTTAATTTTAAATTTCCTAATACATTTTGAATTTAGAGGTTTGTAATAGATCGATAGAATATTTTGGATAAGAATGCGTAAAATATGCCTACGCATGTTGCATGCTGATCCATCGTTGGTGGGGACATATCCATCGGAGCACTTGCACACATTCTCCCTACACACGCTCCACCTTACGGCGGACAGGCAATCGGTATCGGCACTGCAGGAATGAACCCCGATGGTCCGTTTATTGCATGTTGAATTATCGTGACTTGCGGTGTAACCAAGGTCGCACTGACAAACAGAGTTTACACAGCTACTGTTTCTTATCGCTGTTTCACACTGATTTGTATCCGAGCAAGAATCTCCTATCAACCTGATTCGGCAACCAGTGAGGTCACTGAATGTTATGTGAGTACTGGGACACGAGCACCTGCCTCTCAAACACACACCGAAAGGGATTACAGTTGAACAGTCGAGATCCATTTGACATGTGTCCCCGATCATTCCTGAAAATCATTATTGCGTGGGTTTGTACTTAAAAGTAAATGTCTATTACATGAATAACATTTTGAATATAGAGTTCTCTAAGAAAACTTATTGACTTTCATACTAGTAATGTTACAGGACATGAAAACAATCCATCAATTTAAAATGTAGACTATGTGTAAAATATCTGCCTACGTTTTATGCACGAGTTTCCAGTAGGAGAGTAAAAGCCGTCGTTGCAATTGCAAACCCCCTCGTCACAACGGCTGTTAGGTATGGCCGCTGTGCAATCTTCTTGCACTATGCAGGAGGTGGCGGTCCCAATGGTACGTTTTCTACAGGTCGTCGAATCAGTGCTCGGATAATAGCCAAGCTCACACTTGCATCGTGACTGAAAACACACGCTGTTACTAACGGAGGCATTACATTGTTCGTTGCCGTTGCTGCTGCTGCTGCAGGTGTCTCCAATGAGTCGAGGTCTACAGGTAGATCCGGACGCAAGAAAAACATCATCGCATTGACAGGTTCCAGACTGGCACTGGGATTGTGGGATTGTGGAGCAGTCCTCGTCTAACTGACACGTGTCACCAATCACGCCTGAAACAGTCTGTCTTCGTCATTTTACCACTCCCAAAACATTCAGCGTGGACAGCCAGTCTATGCCTCGTAGATTCATGCTTTTAGTGAGCATATACCGCGCGCACCGTTCTGTTAGTACCCATCCTATTTGAACACACATGCAGGCTAAATGATGGCCAAAGCTAGCCCTGGAGAAAATTCATTCTTTTGGGAAAAAAAACCTTTCCAGTCACACAAAAATTACCGACACAGGAGATAAAAAAATCAAACGTGTGCATTTTTGGAAATGGCTGTGTTTCAGGTCAGGTGTTTCCTCTCTCAAATCAAGCTGCATGCTCTATATGTCACCTAACTTTTCCTTCCAAATGAAAATATGCAAAGCTTAGAAATTGGTCATCTGTGTGTCTTGCCTACTTTGAAGCTCTATTTATCTATATACGGTAAGTAGGAGGAAGCCTTAAATATTTGTTTTTTACACCATCAGGTACATCTACTGGTTGGACCTAATCTACAGGTACATTTATTGGTTGGACCTATTCTACTTAATAAAGACTACTTTTGGTTCATGCACCTTACATGATGTAACTGTTAGCGCTATAGTGTGCAAAATGTTTCTACAAGGAATCTACCATAAGCAAAGCAATCCAATAATAATTATTTAAAGAACACCATGCAACAAGGACAAAATCAAACATATAAATAAAAAACTAAGTATGATAAGATATAATAAAAAAAAACAGTTTACCAGAAAAAAAACCTGCAGTAAGCATAAATGTACATGTGAAAATCATGTACAACAAAGAAAACGGACAATATTACAAAACACGTCAGTACAAGGTCTACTATACAAATATTCTTTTCAATTAAATCGGTGCACTAAGAAATCGATTTACTTTCTTTCACAATGAATTCACTTTTTAAAACATTTTCACTTACAACAATAATAGGAAATATTCGGCAACATCGAAACAGACGGCTCTCACGTTAATCATAAGAACATAATAAGTAGACCTATCAACACACTCTACTGGCAACCTCAAGTTAACCTTTACTTACGTGCCAAGCATGAAGTACTGTCTGTACTGGGGCGGTACCCTATAGCACATGTACAGCGCCTGGTAGACGTGGAACAAGTCGTTCCTGTTACCGCAGTGCTACAATCGCCGTCTGTTGAACAACTATCTCCTACAACTCTCTTTCGACATTGTAACTGCCCACTGGTCGCTATGTATCCAAGGTTACACTGACAGGTATTTCCCGTTCCACAGGTCACGTGATCCATCACCACGTCACACTGGTCAGTTGACGTACATGCGTCTCCAACCGTAAGCTGTACGCAAGCCGTGTTGTCTGGTCCTGGTTTGTAGCCAACGGAACACACACATCTCCCCTCTACGCATCTGCTGTTGCCCACAACAGTATTGCAGTCGGTGCTCAAAACGCATGTATCGCCTATTTTACCTGTAATGCCGAGACACTAGTGATTGAGTTTTCGCCTTATTGTGTCCTTATAGAGGAACTTACCCATTTGAATGCTAAATACAATAATAATGCCCTTGAATAAATTTTCGGACTGCTAGGTAAATAGAAGAGGAAAAAATATCTAACAGAGAAAAAATGTTTCAATTAACGTGCATGGTAGGCCTTTTTCTTATTGAAAAAAATCGTACATTTATTTATAAGCCACATTCTGGTATGGTAGTTGAGAGAATGATCGTTTGAAAGCAATGAAAAAATTTACTTGTTCTTTCATATCAAATCCCATGAGCAGCCCGTTTGTTACGAGTTAAATGGTGATAGTTCACTGCAATAAAATTTTGTACTTTCTTCCAATTAAACTCACGTTTCACACACTGCCCGAGGCCGGTGGTGTCTCTGTATCCAGGCTCACATTCACAAAATCTGTTGGCACTGCAGACAGTGTTGGGTTTACTAGTACAGCTTACTGCCGCCGCTGGATCACATTCTATAAAACGAAATAGTAAATTTAAATGCACAGGGGAGACTTTCTTTGTGTTAGGACCCCTGAAGTGTGAGGGAAGTTAACAACTAATTTATTATGCGTATTTTATGCCATCTTTGTATGCACTTTGATGCAACATAGTTCTAAACTGTCCATCCACGTTTTACAGTAAAACAGAATACAGTTTTTCCACATCTTAAATATTCATACCTGGACACCGTTGTAAAGAACATGGTACCGTATCTGTGTCACCCTGAACATCAGTTGGACACGCGAGACCGCCATTGGTTGGTTCTGGGCTGTTGCATTGTCTTCTTCTGCTTTTGGTCCCGTTCTCACACGTGACACTGCACGCCTCCCAGCTACCCCAGGATCCCCAGTTACCATTTGCTAGGGAGGGAGAGCACATATTTGCTATTACAACTCTCCATTATGTCGTGTTTAAGATATTAAAGATAGTTTGTAGCTAAACCCAGCGGATCTTTTATTGCAAGTGTAAGGCATAATTAATTATATATGCTTTCCATACTTAATAAGCCAGCACTATAACTGAGTTTCTGACAATTGTTAAACATCCACAACAAAGAGATGAAAAACTTGACGTACCTCTCGGTGGAAGAGACAGATCTTCATCTACTTTTCCATCCCCATCATCTGCAATTGATTTGCAAAATTAGTATTGAGATGAACAGATTTGATGTTACTTATTCGTATTCGTAAAAAAATCTAACACAAACCATGTAAAATATCTAATACGAACCTTGTAAAATGCTAACACAAACCTTGTTTAAATGAAAAATAACCCATTTTTTGGAGGTAAGATTGAGTTTCATGTGGAAAAATCAACATGAAATAGACTGTTAATATCCTGAAAAATTTTCCGCAACAAGACGGGAAACTCACCATCAATATTATTTTTGATTTCCTCATCTACTCTTCCGTCACAGTCTTCATCGACTTGGTTTCCAGCCACAATATTCTGCCCTACAAATGGACTGCACCCCTGAAAGAGTAAAACGTTCTTAACAGTATATATAACGAAATTACACTTAATATGGCAGGAAGATTTTTATTCTTTTCATCTATTCATTTAGAGGTTGAATAGACGGCAGCACTGGATTTACAGGGATATATATATTACCCGAATCTGAAAACAGGATATAACTATTTAGAAAAAAGATTTTTCAACCCAAAATAAATAACCAAATTCAACTCACCAATGTGTTTTTGGCCACGTTCATCCCTGCAGGGTAAGTAACATAGTAGTTACCATTTGAACTGGCATGGAAACCACTCATGATACCGTAAAAGTTTGTCAGGGGATCAGTGCTGTAGATTTCATGAGCTCCAGGTGAGACTGGCATCGTACTCACATAATAATTAGTTGACGACATTCTAGTAAAAGACATATTCATGGGTTGGCCATCCATCCTCAGTGTACCGGCATTTGTTGTAACATTCGCAACATAGATTGTCATGTGACTGGACATTTCTGCAGCTGTTTGTCCCAATGTGGTGAAGGTATACCTAGATCTGTACTGATAGACGGGTGGAACTAACACCATGGAGGCATCTATCATATTTGTGGAGGAATCCATGGATTGTGTAAACAAGGCGACTTGAATTGGAGAGTCGGACCAAACGCGTCTGAGAACATTACTCTGGTAGTCTCTGACAAAGGTGTAGAATTCGGTCACAAACGTACCACTAGCGGCCTCACCGGAAATGTATACTCTACCTATATTTGGATGTCTGTCTTGGGACACAATCTTCATTTTATACTTCTGTGAATTAGGTGGAGCAGAAATTAGGAACTCTTTTCCCCAAGCATCATAGGGAGTCAACTGTTGAACCAGATGGTCGGACGTCATAGTGCCTTCAATTTGTACCTTTTTACTTCCAGAGAACACAGCAATAGCGCTGTTAGCCTCAATCTGAGTGGCAGTGAGATCGTCGCTTTGGAGGTGAAGGGTTTGGTACCTTGACATAGTCACTGTGAACACGGCATAACCAGTATGTGTTACACCATTGTAGGTAATGGCGTTATTGGCTCTGCCCGGCAGCTTAACTGTTACTTCTGTACGGTCTTGAGTGGAAACCACGAGAATCTGTCCTTGATTTGACCATGTAATGGCGGAATATTTTGAACCAAGGCCAGTCACGGGTATCGCAGTGAACGCATCTCCAGACCCCTGTTCCTGATTCAGGCCATACAGTGAAATGGGTTGGGTTGACATGACGTGAATACCCTTGCTTTCCACCTGACTGCCTGTGGCTTTGAAGTTCGCTGGTATGGAGACTCTCACACTCTGTCCCCTTGCTACCTGTGCTGTTTTACGAAAATTGGTATCTTGTTTCGGAGCTGTGACAGTGACTTCTGCCGGTGTGTTAGACCCAGTCGTCATGTACAGGTACATATCACGACCATCACCATAATCATTGTCCATAAATCCTACATAAAATTCGGTCCCCTCGTTGCTAAAGGATGCTAAAATATAATATTAAAATACACAGAGTGAATACTGATATATGTTTAACCCCTATAAAGCAATGGGGCTGTGGAAACATAAACACATAGTATTAAGGTTTCAGAATGACATTACAGTAAGCATGAGATAAACCAAAACACGTATTTTACTTAACATTATAAAATGCAAAGAAATAATTTAATGAAAAATAAAATAATAGAATCATAATGAAGACATTGGTACTTGTGATAAAGCATACCTGATGCTAGGTTTCCTAGACATATTAAAACAACCAAAATCCCAAAATGAAGGTTCGTCATAATGATTGGTTAAGGAGAAATCGCAATCTGAAACAGAAATACAACCCGTCTCATAAAACCAATCTAATCTGTTTGGCTTCAAAGTGTTGGTACGTATAGAAAGGACGACGCTTTCAAGGTGCGGTATACTCTTGTATATCCTTCTCACTATAGACTAAATATCTAAAATTCAAAGAAGTCATGTAAAGCATTAATGAAAAGTATAATGTTAATCGCCCATTAAGAAATTAATTTAAAAAAAAAAGAGGAAACAAAGGAAAGGTATTACTAGATACACATTGTAATCTCTCACGTCCACACTAGTCTACTTATCCTAACAGTAGAGCATATTGAATAGGGAATTGTCTAAAATGGAAAGCCCTATGCGCCACGAACTTCACTCAGAAAGACTAATCCATATAATAATGTAGAGGACACGTCAAGCTAAGTGCGTTTGTATACCGTTATAATGACAAGATAAACACAATTAGTTTACCCATGCAAATCGTATGGCTTTATTTTTTTAACAGTATTTTCATATGGATGTAAATACACGAGGAACTTACAGAAGCAAAATCGCAGCGCTGTTAAGGTTTAGCAACTTTATAGGAACATAAAGGAACGGTGCAAGTCTTTTGATTTTTAAAACATATGCCAAACAAAAACAGAATGTTTCATAGTATTACCATAAAGTTACACCAACTTTTTTCGGTTTCGTAAACGTTTAACACTGTATTTGGTGGGTAACTGCTCCCCTCAGGATGACAGTACATAATGTGCAAAATGATATGTTCTCAAGGCAAAAATCCTGTACCCTTCGCTCTCAGATATATTTGTTGTCACATTTTTTCTGTGATATTTTCTTTTTAATATATATGAAGTCATGGATTACTGTTTAAGTTACTGTCGTAAAGGGGAGCTATTCCATAAATGTGAATTACAATTGACTGGACTGTATTTTTGATTATGAACTATTATTTTCAGATAGTTGAAAAATTCTTAGGATAGTTGGGTATTATTAAGTCGTCTGATTTACTACACAGTAACATGAAAAACAAAATCACAAAGTTATTCCTCCATCAACAGTAATGAGAGCAGACTTTTTTTGCTTTAATAATTGACTTGTCAACCGTACGTATGTTGGTGCACAGTTGGTCCCTATTCATCTCAGTATGAGGCATTAATTAAGTACAAGAGACGATCCTTAGAGTTTTGAAAAATCACAGTTCTAGATGCAGTGTCGCGCATTAGTGCTAAAAGTAAGGGATAAGCCCTGTGCGGAGGTAAATACCGGCTTCTGCCAAGTTCCCACTGTGAATACATTGTTAGACATAAAGAATATAATTGTCTCGGAAATACAAAATGGACCATGGTGCGACCTGTTGAAGTACAGTGTAGCGGATTTAAAGGCTTTGTCTGACCAGTAAATAGTGCTGCAGTTCGCAACCATGGTTGTCTATCACGTCAAAAGCTCCCGACTGGAGATTTAGTCCGTTTTTTTTTCTGGACTGAGTGAATTTAGTTTTTCACTCACGCTTATTTTCTCTCTTGCGTTCCATTCTTAAGGTGGTTCCATTCCTTCAAATTTATACACAAACATCAACGTTGGAGATATGTTTTTATCAGTTTTGTTCTGAATCAGCTCAGGTAAAGTGACGTCTGTATTATTTATACATTAGGGCGACAATAGAATCAACATAAAGACTAACACTTTGGCGGATAAAAAAAGAATGGCGTAAGGTGACGGGTGATATAATTTTGTATTCCATCAACGCCTGGTATATAATATGAAAAACTACACAGTGAGCTTTTAAGTGGTTGCATTGTTATATCTATATACAGGTACGATGTGCAATGGATATCTTTGTGAAATATGGTCCTTTGGGTCGAATGCATTATTAAACAGCTGAGAGGCATTTTGAGGAGGACTTTTCAAGAGAAACGGTACCTTGAATCTTGTAAAGTACATCACTTTAGAAACTTGAACGAATAGGAATTACAGTAAGAGTCGCTCAAATTTACAAATGATCAAACTTCAAGACTCGTGTGGTACTTTTCCCGATTCCATGCATCTTGAATTGTCACTCGTCGTGTGTGTGAAAAGAAATACTAAAGCCACAGTATTCGGACAAAACCAGAACTGTGAAATAACAAGAGAGCCATGACTGGAATAGATACAAAAGGTGGCGAGGATATATACAATAGATGGTCACAATGCCATATAGACTAAAGGGGGTTCAACACCTGACCGCGCTTATATTTCACTGATGCCTAAGTATTCTCAGAAAGGATGTAACAGCTACTGCTTGCATAACATTGTCCCGTACGACCCCATGTAGATCCACCTTTTATCGTCAAGTTATATGGTCATTTCACAGTTCAACACAGCTTCTGTCATAGGTTAGTTGGTGCGAAATTACCCCTCACTCCTAACCCCTTTTGCGTCCCAGGGCGCGCCGATGCAACCACGCCTGTATTGGCGAAGTGGAATGTAGGTATTACATAAACCACGCTCTTTAGCTTCACGCTGCGCTGAGCATTTTCAAACCTCATGGTCCTGAATCAATACATCGTAATAATAAGGGCAAATAAAAATAGTTTGCCTATGCATATTGTTTTCTGAAATAGGCCCGTGTTTTTAATTGCAAAACCTTAGGCTATATCTTTCCACGGATGGTTGTGGATTTGCATTGTTTATCTTATTTACTGTTGCAGACTGACGTAAAAATGCAATTTTCATGTGACAATTTAATTATTCAAATGTCTTTTTAAGCACAATGTTATGGTCCTCGTTCAATCTAACTTGTAAGAAAAAAATGCAAGAGGTGTTCTGTAAGAGAGACTGCTTATTTATCATATACACCCTTGGAGCCACACGTAATTGTTTTGACCATCTTTCTAGAATTATTTTAAAAAATACAGATAAGTTAACAGTCATTAACTGACTTGGTCTCCCTCATTTTTCATTGAGGAAACATTATAACTATTTGCTATTATTATAAACCAACCCGTAATAAATACTGGTTCGATTCATTGTTATAGTAATGGTTTAAAATATTATATAAAAAGCGTTTCTTGGTGAAGCCACTCTGTAAATCAACTACACTAACCATGAAAAGTCTGTGTGTTCATATTCTTGTGTATTCAGATTACAATGCTTTTAGCTCCGCCAGTATAATTTTGGGATTAAGGTTATAATGAGGGAAAGGGTCCATTTAAAGTTCTAATGGATCTCATTACCAACCAATACATTTGCGTTAGTGTGAACACTAACTCGGTTTACAAGCTTACAGGGGCGGATCCAGAGATATATTCCGACAGTCTTCCAAATTTTTCTTTGTTGATCTATCCTTAATTTTTGACCGTCTTCCGACAGAAAAAATTAAATACCTGTCAATATAAACTTGAAAATCTGACCGTCTTCCAGAAGACGGCCTGAATCCGCCCCTGAGCTTAAACTACATGAAGGATGAACATATCTTACAGTCACAACGTGCAAATATACACAACCATTTTTTATATAGATTTAATGCCACTTTGATTGATATTCTGCGTATTTTGGTCCGCTTTAGCAGAGCTAATCCATATGGATGTTAAGTCGCCTTTCAGCCATGGCTGTAAATGAAAGGTGCAACTGCGCATGTCAGAAACCACGGATGGTGGGTAATTCTGACATATTTTCTTAATGTGCTAAATTAACGGCACGTACCAGGGGTTGTCTACCGCTCAAGGGTGAAAACTAGCTAAATATTTAGTCATTTTCACCCGACTTAATAAGAACTGAATTTAATTTGTAGGGGGATATGAGTGTACATTAGTCATGGCTCTGTACACACCTGAGGGTGGGATGGCCGTCTGACCACGCCCAGTCTTAGTCTTAGTGATTAACGTCTTACTCCCTTCCCTGTTTTCCCTGACCTACACGTTGACCATGAGTTGGTTGTTTAGTTGTTATCCATATTAAGAAACCCTTCGAACTCAAACTTGTCACAAGCATGCTCTCGAAGGTGATTATGGCGTCGACATATGGCATTTCCCCCCACCAGCTAAGACTGACAAGTGAGTCCACGAGGATAGCAATTACCTGAGCCATAATATCATGCTGTACTTTAAGTATCAGACAGACAGTGTAATAGATGGATGCACCGACGTTTTCTTTTTCTATGTACAAAACGATCGAAACCGTGATTAAGTAACTATTTGGATGACGGGGCATGTAAGGTGAAAGGAGTTCCGTATGCATGTAAAACTTAAGCCTGCAAGCGGCCTACCCATGATATACGGGTGGAATTGATATAAAAAAGTCTTACCTGTCCGCACTCTTGTACTCCTATCATCTTAACTAGATAGATCTTTAAAAACTAGTTTTGTCAACTCTGCAGAATCTGCTGTTTCATAACTGGTTCCCGCGAAATAAGGCATAAGGGTGGGTCCCACATTAACTTATTCCTTAAAGTCTTAGTTAAATAACAACACTAGGTAAATCATTTACATCATTCAATTAATGAAACTGCGAAACAGGTTAATAAGTTGAAATTAAGCAACTTACCTCCCCCGAGAAGCGTCTTTTCGCCTAGTTTTTCCGACCTGTGTAACTGGGTGTGCGACCTGGTTAGATTATCTTTCTACTAGGGTGTATTCAATGTGGAGTTTCGATTGTTAAACAATATCCCAGTAGCACTTGCGCGGCCTTTTGTTAAAAGAGCTTGGGTGACAAATACGCAGCACCGAGCTCGCAATAGTCGTATTGATCCTTTTCTATTCAAGTAGTAGCCAGGCCGCTTTAGAATGGCGTTCGCTATTTAAGCGTGTGTATTGGGGTGTGGTGGGAAACTCGCTTCACGCAGAAACCAACCTGCTCCCGTCCTATTTAGACACTAAAAGTCTACAGGTGATTATACCTGTTTAGATCTAGGTGCTTCCTTTAAGTATTTTCGCTCGCGGGGGATGGTTACGCCGTGCATTGAGTACAAAAGAAAACTATTTTTCAGGAATTCTTTTGTTTACCTAAAAATAAAAAGGTAACATAGGCGTGCCCTCGGTCTAGGCAAGGAAATCTACCAATGAGAAATAAGCGTTGACATGATGACTGGTGCAGTCACAATAACATCAGGTGACGCATTTTTTTTAACATGTTATGAAAGCTATGAGGATTGTGAAATATGACTACAATGCTTCAAGTTATTAATCCGACTGACAGGATTATTCTGCGTACCGGTCAGGAATTAGGACCACCNCAATAGTCGTATTGATCCTTTTCTATTCAAGTAGTAGCCAGGCCGCTTTAGAATGGCGTTCGCTATTTAAGCGTGTGTATTGGGGTGTGGTGGGAAACTCGCTTCACGCAGAAACCAACCTGCTCCCGTCCTATTTAGACACTAAAAGTCTACAGGTGATTATACCTGTTTAGATCTAGGTGCTTCCTTTAAGTATTTTCGCTCGCGGGGGATGGTTACGCCGTGCATTGAGTACAAAAGAAAACTATTTTTCAGGAATTCTTTTGTTTACCTAAAAATAAAAAAGGTAACATAGGCGTGCCCTCGGTCTAGGCAAGGAAATCTACCAATGAGAAATAAGCGTTGACATGATGACTGGTGCAGTCATCATAACATCAGGTGACGCATTTTTATGAACAAGTTATGAAAGCTATGAGGATTGTGAAACATGACTACAATGCTTCAAGTTATTAATCCGACTGACGGGATTATTCTGCGTACCGGTCAGGAATTAGGACCACCTATTTGCGTATTATACTTATTAGATTAATCTAATTGCTGATTATTCATTTTATTACTCTGACTTGCGTAAATGTAAAAAGGGTGTTACTATGTTCTGCTCATTTGCTTTGGAATATTTCAATATCTTTTTTAATTTCTGATACTAATTAAAAAATGTGAGCATTAAGGAAAATATTTTATTACTTAATATTTATATACGTAAATGCATATGTCCCCATCATTTTGTCTGGTGTTGGGGCGAGTTAAGCTCTATATTCTTTCTTTGAAAATAATTAACAAAATGCCCAATTTACCATATACTTGGTCAACAAAATAATTCTTTCCTCAACTGTCACTTTTTTATTATTTCATAAACATGCAATTTGTCTTGAGAATAGCGAGTTTGGTTTTAGAGTAGGTACTGAGGCGTTATTTTCGTCTCTCTACAGTCATTTTCAATACTGTAAAAATGAGAATTCAATACAGTTGATCACAGAGAACGAGTGAGGGACATTTATCGCATCTCCATATCAGGGCATCAATTTAATTTCCTGCGAGAACGGAAGAAATCTGCATTAGAAAGATCCCGTTTGATTTCTCATGGATTGATGTCGACTAAAAGAATTGAGGCTAAACGAATACCTTTACCAGTCAAAATATAGAATGTTAGATAATGATATAAATTGTGTAGATATTTTGTTCGTATAAGGTTTGATAAAATATTTTCATGCTTTATTTTTCTATTTGTTTATTTTTAGTTATTCACTTTGTATTTTGCCGGTGTCATTGATGAGTACAAATACAATGGCATTTATCAACATCAACGCTTACGATTCACCACCACACCTTCATGTTCTAAACTGAAATACCCCCTTGCACATCATTTACAACACGGCATTTCTACATTTGACTTAGGCAAAATAAAAGGTTACATGTATTCATTACATTGTCGCTTTACGTAAAACTGGTTTTGGAGTTTTATGGTGTTTTGGAGAGCAAACAGTGTCCTTTGATATGGTTTATAACTATCAATATCAAAATTCTAATTTCAAGAAGGAAATATTGGTGTAATATATATTTCAGAAACCGAAGGGGGTGGTGGTCAGGACGCCCCTGCCCCCCTCCCCTCTAAATCTGCCACTAGATTGATATCCACCGACGGAACGCGAATTACCTTTGGGTGTTGTATTTCTCCCATTAGTCACTCAGAAATCGATTTATTTACGAGTTTCGCATTTTCCTTTCAATGAGGTTGAGTGTGGCTTGTGGTACGCACTATCAATCCACTTGTGTGGATATGTACATGTACAGTTGTATAACCCTATGTACAGCTTTTAAAACGAATTAAAACATCAACTCCTCAGTTATCTTTTTAGATGTGATGTTTTTTTTTTTTTTTTTTTTTTTACATATTGGAATACCGACCAAGCCTTGCTTTGCCTCACTGATTGCATTGTGTCCTGTTTTATCGGAATGTCACAAGACGACTGTTTAACGCCATGTTTGGATTTATAGTGTGGCTGTGTGATACCATACATACAAGGAAAAGTATATAACGTGGCTATCGTCTATGTGGCATTATCGTTGGAAGTTCATTCTGCCTCGAGAAAAGGGGAAAGCCGTTTGTGTTTTATTTTTTTTAGATATAGTTTCATCCGGGTAAATTGCAATGGCAATACAACTTTTGAATTTATTGTTTATTGACTTTATTTCTTTTCATATGACTTAGAAAGAGATAAGTATGGAACTAAGCAAAGGAAATATAATTCAGCAATAGTTAAGGTTGTTTCATTTTGCCCATCGTGAAATAATTTCTTTTCTATACAAATTACAATATATAGCAATGCTTGTTAATAACATTATAATTTTGACTTGTGATATTAATTTTGCTCTTTTTCTCAAGTTAAAATTCACATTAAAAGATAGGAAACAGAAAGGTGAAGACAATTATTAATACCAGAGAAGGGGACGTTTTAATGAAATTAAGTCCAAAACCAAATTTATTTTGGGAAATACCCCTTCACTCTTATTCAAGGGTATAGAAAAGTCTACCAAGGACCGGTTAACTTCAAGTTATTGTGATTTTTATGTTTTCATGTTAATTTTGATGTTGTTAGTTTTGTGTCTGTCAACAAAGGCCTATTTATATGTACATGCAGGACTCTGACTCATCTTGTCACACTGAGGCGTATGTCAATCAAAAGACGTTTTAATTTAAGGTTCTTTTTTTAATATTGTTCTGTTAAAATGATAACATTTAAAATGATACAGTTTATGACAGTTCTGACTTAGTAGTTTCAGCCCAAGAGAAAATATTTTCGCAATAATTCATGGTGTCATTCACCGGCGCAGTTCACCTTCTGGGGCAAGGCATAGGAATACAATGGTGAGGATTTTTTAAAAAGAGGTAAAAAAAATTCGAAAAATGTTATGATTCACGCATGTCACATGTGAATGCTGCTGTTTTTGGGCATATGATTTCTAAGATGGGCTCTCCCACATATAGAATGGACATTAATTGAAATATGATTGCAGCTTTAGTTCATTTCCCTTTA